TTTCTTAGCACTTAAAAGCACACAGCGAGGGCACATGCACTTTATATCTTTCACTCCGAGTGCATGTCCTGGGCCTGCAGCTTTGTGGAAGGAGAGAATGAGAGAATGAGTGAATGGATTCCAGGTGCTACAGGTGACCACAGACTATCACAAAGCATAACCAGGATCTATGGCCTAATAAAAACTACATCCCTATATTGTGAAGTAGCATGAAATAGTCACAACTGGGGCCAGAAGGTGGTGTGGTGGTTTAAGGCACTAGACTCCCACATGGCCAACTGTGGTTCGAGTCCCAGACCAGGCGGCTTGCTTTCTCACTTTCCCTCTCTTTCTAGTCAAATAAAAAATTAAAATAATAAATAAAATTAAATAAGAACTTTTTTTTAAAAAAAAGAAATAGTCACTACTTATTTTTTAAGGTGATATCATATAAAAATACTTTTTAAAAGTTTATAATTCTATACTTCTCTCAGAGATTCTAATTTGCCTATTGCTATTCAGTCTACCATGTGCAGATGCCCAATGGCCTTTTTTTCCCCCTAAGGTTATTTATTTATATTTTTTCCCCATAAGTCAAGAGAGACAGAGCAGGAGGGTGTATGGGGACAGGCTGGGCTGGAGGGTTGAGCAGGACCAGATCAGGCACCTGTAAAGGCAGAGGATTTGGAGATTCCACTCTCTATAGCCAGTCTCTATTTAAATCTCTTTATAAGCTGACTGGTACTCGCACACCTGCACTGTCCTGGGTGGCCTCTGCCTTTGAGGGGCTTCAAGTAGGTAAGGTCAGGGACATCGGTAACGCTTGTCTGCGAGTCCTTTGTGTGGGGGCCTGGGGGAGCTTGCGACTCCCTGGGCTGTGGTCCCTATCCTTTGATACACCTAATGAAAAATTTAGACCTATATTGTCTGAGTAGTAGCCATGGCCCCCTGTGGCTATTGAGATTTATATTTGATTGTGACTAGCATTTGGTGTAATAGCTACGTAGCTGGTCTCCCATGTAGTCGACTACAGTTTGAGTCCTGGACCTGGTGGCTTAAACTCACGCTGGGTGCTTGTGCGTGCGTGCCCAAGATCCCGAGAGGAGAGAGGAGGAGAAGGGATTGTGGTGTGGCCATCCCCCCTGGGGGGTGATTTTTCGCTTTCTGTCTCTCTGTCTCTCTCTGTCTTTCTGGCAAGTGCACACACCCTATAGCAAAACCTCTCAAAAAAAAAAAAAAAGGAAAGAAATTTAAATTTGAATCCATGATAAAGAAATAACCATGAACTGACCACATTTTGAGTGCCTGTTGCCACCTGTGTTGGACAGCACAGTCTAGAAAAGAGGAGGGAGGTGGCTGGGGGTTCTTGAGGTGCTGCTCTCCCCTGAACTCACTTAACTCACTTGAAGCACCTGTCTCCACACTTCCTTCCAGTTCTGGATCATCCCCAGCATCCTCGGCAGCTCCAACCTCTACTTCCTATCGGATGACGACTGGGAGACCATTTCTGCCTGGATTTACGGCCTTGGTCTCTGTGGCCTCTTTGTGGTGTCCACCATGTTCCACACAATCTCCTGGAAGAAGAGCCACCTCAGGTACTTCTTGCCAGCTCATGGGAGGGGATATGTGTGGACAAGGTGGCCAGGGGCTGAGGCTCACAGAGCCCCAGGGATGATGTGAGACACTGAGTTTGCTGGAGACATGCTCCCCTAAGATAGGAGGGAGCCAAGGTGGGATGACCCTCAGGCTGTCTTCGGTAGAAACAATCCCTGCTTTGGACAGGACACCTCACCCACATGAGCCTCCTTTGCTCACCTCAGAGAGGACCACATGGCACACCCTGACTCACTGGTTCTTATGGGGGACCATCATCATAACCACTCCCTTTGACACTTCCTGGGTTCCAGGCAGTCTACAGACGTTATCCCCAATCTTTGCCATAAATTTGCACTGTAGGCATTAGAGTCTCTGATTAAAAAACATTTGGTTAATTAGGTTTTTTAAAATTGCCTAGGTGATACACTCACCAAAGAGAAAGAGAATGGGTTGTGGTCACACTGTAGTCCCTCTCCATTTTTTCATTCTATCAGAGCCTTGGGCATGTGTGTGTACACCATATGCTGGTCCCAGTTTTTGTACTTTTTAGAACCACAGAATTTGGGACCAGCAGATGACACAATGGTTATGTCACTGGACTCCCACATAGTTAACTGCAGTTCAAGACCCAGACCCGTGGTGGCTTAAAATTTATGTCCCAAGATTCCGGGAGGTGAATGGAGGAGAATGAATGAGAAGGGATTGCAGTGTAGCCATTGCCCCTGGGGGTGATTTCTCACTTACCCTATCACTATTTCTGTCTCTCTCTGTTCCCTGACTCCTGGCAAGCATGCAATCCTAAGGCGAAAATCTCTTAAAAAAAAAAAAAAAAAAAAAAAGAAAGAAAGAAAATCCCAGAATACAAAACAAAAAGGCAGGATCAGCAAATGGCATAATGGTTTTGTTGTTGGACTCCCATGTAGTCGATTTTGGTTCGAGTCCGGACCCGGTGGCTTAAACTCACACTGTGTGTGTGTGTGTGCATGCGTCCCCCAAATCTCGAGAGGAGAATGGAGGAGAAGGTATTGCGGCATGTCCATCTCCCCTGGGGGAGGGGGTGGTGATTTTTTGTGTTCTGTCTCTGTCTTTCTGGCAAGTGCACATGCCTTATAGAAAAAATTTCTCTCCAAAGAGATAAACTGATTGAAAACTAGGAGAAGGCAAAGTCAGATCCGCACACTCAGAGAGTAGTAGGCCCTCACTGGGACCCCTGAGGTGTCTCCTTACAATCCCTAGACAGACAGGGAGCCTGATGTGAAAGTTACTGTTCTGGTCACTTATAGGTGGGGAGACTAAGGCCTGGGGGTCACTCCCAAGCCCCACCCCTCTCCCTGTCAGAGAGCATGGTTGTCCCAGGGCACAGCTCTGGGCATGCTGGCCCTTCCTGGCTGCCCAGGCCATGACCATCCCTTCTCTGCCTGCCCTAGGATGGTGGAGCACTGTCTGCACATGTTTGACCGGATGGTCATCTATTTCTTCATAGCAGCCTCCTATGCACCCTGGTGAGTATACCATGCCACCCTAGGAAGGGGCTGGCTTCTTTCCTTTATTTGAGTTTATTTTTATATTTGGCTAGATAATATGTCAACTTGGCGCAGAGGAGTATAGGTGAGAAGACTCCCTCCTCCCCAGTCTTCTTCCAGGAAGCAACTACTTCTTACCAGTTTCTTGCATATTCTTTAAGAGTTATTTTAAGCATAAAATAACAAAAAAGTATGTGTATATATATGTATATATGCATATATATGTGTATATAATATATGTCTATACATATACAGGAAACCTTTGAACAACATGTGGCTTAGGGGCACTGACCCACTGCAGAGTTGAAAAATCCATGTATAACTTTTGACTCTCCCTAAAACGTTGCTGCTGTGGACTGGAAGTCTTACAGATTACATAAATAGTCAATAAACACCTTTTTAAAAATGTTATATATATATGTATATATATATACACACACACACACATATATATACACACACATATAATGTATATATATGTGTATATATATGTTACATATATATATAAAATATACCGATTCTTAAAGTAAGGTAGAGAAAAATGTTATTAAGAAAATCAAAAGTGGGGGACCAGCAGTTGGCATAGGGCTGTCACTGGACTTCCATGTAGTTGACCACAGTTTGAGTCCCGGAATCGGTGGCTTAAGCTCACACAGGGCGCATGTGTGCTCATACCCAAGATCCCGAGAGGAGAATGGAGGAGAAGGGATTGCAGCGTGGCCATCCCTACTTGGGGGGTGATTTCTCACTTTCTGTCTCTCTGTCTCTCTTTGTCTTTCTGGCAAGTGCACGTGCCCTATAGCAAAAACCTCTTCAAAAAAAGACAGAAAGAAAGAAAAAGAAAATCAAAAGGAAGAACCAGTAGATGGCATAATGGTTACATCACTGGACTCCCACATAGTCAAGCATGGTTCAAGTCCCAGAACTGGGACATATGTGTGTGGTGCCTAAAAATCCTGAGAGATGAATGGAGGAGAAGGGATTGTGGCATGGCCATCCCCTCTGAGGGGTGATTTTTGGTTTTCTGTCTCTGAGTTCTGTCTTCTCTCCAGTGAGTGTACATACCCTATAGCAAAAATATCTCTTAATAAAAAAAGTGACCAGCAGTTGGCATAATGACTATGTTGCTGGACTCCCATGTAGTTGAACGTGGTTCGAGTTCCAGACCCAGTAGCTTAAACTCACACTGGGTGTGAGTGCGTGCCTAAGATCCAGAGAGAGGAATGAAGAAGGGATTGTGGCATGGCCATCCTCCCGAGGGGTGATTTCTTGCTTTCTGTCTCTCTCTGTCTTTCTGGTGAGTGCACGCACCCTATAAGAAAAACCTCTCAAAAAAAAATCAAAAGGAAGAAAATGTATTTACAGTACTTTACTATATTTCCAATATATTAATGGAAAAAATCTTCATTATAATTGGACCTTCCCAGTTCAAACCTGCATTGTTGAGGGGTCAGCTGTATGCATACATATACATATAGAAATATGTATACATGTCTTTTATATATGTATAAGTATACTGTATATTCATACTTGTACTTTCCTCCTACCCTTAATAGAAAAGAAAGACTGCTATACAATCTGTTTTGCAATTTGCTTTGTGTCTCTTAGTAATGTAGCTGAGGGCATCTTCCCATAGTAGCACATTGAAGAGGTCCCTGTTCTTTCCTAGAGCTGCATAATATTCCTTTGCTACCCCTGATCTGTGGATATTTGTGTCTTTCCTTTCCTTGGCTAGAACAAACAACGTTGCAGGGAACATCTTTGCGCAGCATTTGGTACAGGTGCATGGATATACTGCTAGAGTCCTAGGAAATTGCCGATAGCCAACCTTTTTTGACCTACAGAAATAACAACCTCACATGATTCATCCTGATCTTTGTGGGATAAATTCCTAGAACTGGACTTCCTGGGTTTCAGGCGTGGGCATTAGTAATTTGGCTAAGAGTTACTAAACCATTCTCTCCTGAGATGGTTCCAGTTTACACTCCTCCAGAAAGCGATGACCCTGGCTTTTTGAACTTGATTTAGTAACAAATCCAGACTGGATTTTTTTTTTCTGGAATAAAGAAACACTGAGCTCCCAGTCACATGCTAGTAGCCTGTAGATCCTGCAGAGCCCTTGGTCGGGTCCTCTGGGAGCAGGACAGTCCTGCACGTAGCTATCGAACGTGTTCTCTATGGCCTGAGATGCTGGGGGTCGAATTGCCGAAGGTCTAGTCGGTGGAAGGAGGCCCATGACAGATCAGAGATGGTGCAGGGAGGTGGGCCTGTGCACACGCAGCCATGACTGCTTAGGAGGGGCACCCATCTGGCTTGGGGAGTCTTGGGAAGGCTTCCTGAAGGAGGTGTGCAACTCTTAGCATCTATGTTAGCCTCAGAGGAATAGGAGCCATGGAGAAGGTTGTTGTAGTTTGCCTATGTAATTTCTGTCTTTGGTATCATACATGGAGTTCTCTCTCATGATATCAGCTGGTAAATTTAGGTTTCATTTGTATATAGTAAGGCTATTGCTTTTGAAACTGTTTTGAGGTGTAACATACATGAAGCATGTGCACAGCTGTAAGTGTACACCTCGGTGAGTTTTCACACCCTATAACTGGCACCCAGATGAAAACAGAACCTGACCAGTCTCTAGAACTCCTCCATCCTCTGTCTCTGCCTGCCCCTGCTCCTCCCCAGAGTAACCAATCACAGTCCTGACTTTCTTTGGCATGTAACGGTTTTGTCTGGTGCTTTATACTAATGGAACCTATGTGCTTTTGCATCTTGCTCTTCATGTGACGTGATGTTTGGTGAGATTCATTGGGTTATTGTGTGCAGGAGCTGTCTGTGTGTTCTCTGCTGTATAGTATCAGAGTGACTATACTGTCATTCTCCTGGTGACAGACATTTGCGTAGTTTCCAAGTTTGGAGTGATTGTGCATAATGGCCCACAATGTCTGGAGGTACAGATGTTGCCTTCTGTTGGGTCTATACTTGGGAGTGGAAGGAAGAGTACGAGGCAGGACATTGATGGGTCATTATTTTGGGGCTAATGGGAAGTGCCTTGGGAGCAGAGAGCTGTGAGGAGGCTGGCACAGGTGCTAGGGAAGCATGGTGGTGGCATGGACCACAGTGTGTGGAGGCGTGGGGGTGGAGGGAGTAAAGAGAA